GGGCCCTGATGTCGTGTGGCCGATGTTGGTGCCCTGCTATCGGGGTCCCCCGTGCCTGGACCCCCCAGACCCCTCGCTGACACCCCCTCGTCCCCCCAGGAGCGCCGGGAGCCGGAGGAGCCCTCAGCCCACATCTACCTCAACCTGCAGGAGCTGCAGCGGGAGGCCGCCGCGTGCAGCACAGCCCTGCAGCCCCACAGCGCCGACTGGGAGACCCACCGCGACTCGGAGTCGGGACATTTGTTTTATTACAACCCCAGCACTGGGGAGACGACGTGGGATCGGCCCTTCGAGCTGGATGGCGATGCCGTGAGTCCCGGCGCGTCCCCCCCCATGTGGGGACACCAGGAGGAGCCAAGCGGGCCGGCGCTCTCCTACGATTCAGTGACAGGCGAGGGGCCGTGGGACCCACAGAGCGTGGGAGATGGCACCTGGGATGAGGAGATGGGAATGGCGCCCTACAGCCCCATGGAGCACAGGGTGAGACTGCGGGGAGCAGGGGGTGCGATGGGGACACGGGGGGCAGAGTGGGGGCACAGTGGGGATGCAGTGGGGATGAAGTGGGGATGGGGACGTGACACGGTGGGGACATGATGGGGACACGATGGGAACAAAATGGGGATGCGATGGGGACACAGTGGAGATGAAGTGGGAATGGGGACGTGACACGGTGGGGACATGATGGGAACACGATGGGGATGCAGTGGGGACAAAATGGGGACTCAGCGGGAAGAAATGGGGATGCGATGGGGGCACAGTGGGGGCCAAATGGGGACACAGTGGAGATGAGGTGGGGACACGACACAGTGGGGGGACACGACAAAATGGGGACAAAGTGGGAACACAGTGGGGATGCGATGGGGAGGTTGTGGGGGATGCAATGGGGACAAAGCAGGGATGCAGTGGGACATAGTGGGGACAAACTGGGGATGTGAGGGGGACACAGTGCGGGCATAATGGGGACACAATGGGGATGCAGTGGGGACACAGTGGGGATTTAATACGGATACAGCGGGAACATAATGAGGACACAGTGGGGACACAATGTGGGGACACAATGAAGGTACAACGGGGACACGATGGGGACACAGTGGAGATGCAGCAGGGGCTTAAGGGGCACCCAATGGGGACACAAGAGGGACACGGCGGGGATGCAGTGGGGCTGGGATGGGATCTCTTGGTCACCTTCCCGCCCGCCCCGCAGCCGCCCACCCCCGAGGCCGATTACCCCGAGCTGTCCCCAGATGAGCTGGAGCCCTGCCCCGAGGAGGACGGCTCGCCACCGGGCTCCTACCGGTGGGGGGCGGCTCCCTGCCCACCCCCCCGGTGGCACCAGGAGCTGGCGGTGTCCCCACGGTGGGACGGAGCCCCTGGGGAGCGGGAGGCACACGGCACCGAGACGGTATGGGGTCAGGGAGGGGGAAAGGGGGGGGAGATGGGGATGAAGATGAAGATGAAGGTAAGGATGAAGGCGGAATGGCAGCAGGGATGGGGATGAGGATGGGGACAAGAATCGGAATGAGGATGGGGTGGAGTTGGGGGGTGAAAATGGGGAAAGGGGGTAAGGATGGGGGGGGTGAAAATGGATGAAGGTGAGGATGAGGATGGGGATGGCAACAGGGATGGGGATGAAAATGGGGGCGACGATAAGGACAGGGATGGGTGTGATGATGGGATGGGGTGAAAATGGATGGGGATGAAGATGAGGACGGGGTTGGGATGGGGATGGGGGGGGACAGGGATGAAGATGAAGATTGGGATTGGGGTAGAGGTGAAAATGGGGACAGGAATAAGGATAGGGATAGGAAAGGTGATGAGGATGGGGATGAGGATGAGGATGAGGATGAGGATGAGGATGAGGATGAGGATGAGGATGAGATGAGGATGAGGATGAGGATGGGGATGAAGATGGGGATGGGGATGAGGATGGGAATGGGGATGAGGATGAGGATGAGGATGGGGATGAGGATGAGGATGAGGATGAGGATGAGGATGAGGATGAGATGAGGATGAGGATGAGGATGGGGATGAAGATGGGGATGGGGATGGGGATGAGGATGGGGATGAGGATGAGGATGAGGATGAGGATGAGATGAGGATGAGGATGGGGATGAGGATGGGGATGAGGATGGGGATGAGGATGAGGATGAGGATGATGGCTGGTGACTGTCCCCAGGTCCTGGCAGGTGGCCTCCACCAGCGGGCCAGCAGCAGCTCCAGCCAGGACAGCGGGTTGCTCGCATGGCCAGGTGGCAGCCCGGCATCACCAGGGCTCCGTGAGGAGAAGGTGAGCATCCTGGGGACACCGTGGGGACATGGGAGCACACAGAGGCAGGGGCTCTGCAGGCCGCGGCAGAGCTGACGCTGCGCCTTCCTCTCCAGCTCAAAAGCCTCGACAAGGCTGGGGTGCTCAACAGGACCAAGACGATGGACAGAGGGAAGCGGATACGGTGAGTGCGTCCCCACGTCCCTCCAGAGGGGACAAGGGTGGCTGCGCTGCCCCCGCTGTGACCCCCACCTCCCTCTGACCCCAGGAAAAACTGGAGCTCCTCCTGGACGGTGCTGGAGGGTGGAATCCTGACCTTCTTCAAGGACTCCAAGCACTCGGCTGCGGGAGCCCTGGTGAGCGCCATGGGGCCACAGGAGGGGCGGCACCCAAGTGGAGAGGGAGAGAATCCATGGGATGGGGTCAGGAGCCATGGGGTGGGACCAGGACTCGTGGGATGGGGTCAGGATGCAAAGGACAAGAATGGAACCCAACAGGAGAGGGCAGGAACACACGGGATGGGATCAGGAGCCATGAGATAAAAGCAGCACCCAACAGGAGGGGGCAAGAACCCACAGGATGGGACCAAGGCCGGTGGGATGGGGTCAGGAGCCATGGGACAAGAGCAGAACCCAACTGTAGAGGATGAGAACCGTGGGAGGGGGCCAAAACACATGGGGGGGAGTCAGAATCCATGGGAGGGGGCCAGGAGCCGTGGGGTGGAATCAGAATCCATGGGACAAATGTAGCACCCAATAGGAGAGGATGAAAAGCCATGGTGTGGGGTCAGGACGTGTCAAGTTGGGGTCAGGACCCACGGGACAAGAGCAGAACAGGAGAGAGTGAGAACCTATGGGGTGTGGGTCAGTGCCACTGGGGTAAGGTCAGGAGCTGTGGGATGGAGTCAGGATCCACGGCACAAGGACAGACCTTGCTCAGGGCTGGACATGGTGGCAATGTGGGACATGGCAGAGTGTCCAAGCCATGCAGGTGCTGTGTGGGTGCATGTGGGTGCTGTGTGGGTGCTGTGTGGGTGCTGTGTGGGTGCATGTGGGTGCATGTGGGTGCTGCGCCCCTTGCTGTCACACGCACCATCTGTTGGAGGAAGCGATGCCTGTCCCAGCCCACAGCCTGCACCGAATGCAGAAGTTGCACCGGGGTCTTGCAACACCCCACAGTGCTTATGGGGCCAGCGCAGGGTGACACTGCTGTCCCCACAGCAGGGAGGTGGCTTGGGGTCTCCAGCATCAATTGGTTGGAGTTGGTGAAGGGGAATGCATCCAGAGCCAGGACACGGGGCAGGACAGCCTGTCCCCATAAGGCCCAAAAGGGACGTGCCCCCCACAGACGGCCAGAAGCACAGACGGGGCTGACAGCAGCAGTCCCACCCCAAAGACCCCTCAGGCTCATTTCAGGGCTGTCCCATAAGGTGACAGCGATCCTTGGGTCACCCACAGATGGTGGCACAGGACAGGGAGATGCGGGTGACCCCCACAACTGCAGGGTCCCCTCGTTGTCACGGGGTGGGGACAGACGGGTCCCACTGCGGTCGTGGGGACAGCGCTGCCCCTAAGGGCCCCATTTTGGGTGGAGAAAAGCCCAAAGCGGCGTCCTGGGGTGACTCCCCGTCCCCACACACAGCGGCACCCCACCACCCTGACCACCCCGGAGCACACGGTGGAGCTGCGTGGAGCCGCCATCGCCTGGGCCAGCAAGGAGAAATCCAGCAAGAAGCACGTGCTGGAGGTGAGCGGGGGGACGGCGCGGGGATGTGGGTCAGCCTATGGGGTCACCCCTCACCCCATCCATCCCACCCCCAGCTGAGGACGCGGGAAGGCTCCGAGTTCCTCATCCAGCACGACTCGGAGCAGATCGTCACCACGTGGCACCGGGCCATCGCCGACAGCATCGTGCTGATGGTGAGGGGCGGCCGCACTGCTGCGTCCCCCCGCGCATCCCCAACCCCTCCGACTGACCCCACTGCCCCCCAGGGCTCCGATGTCCCCACCGAGGAGGACGCCGAGAGCGGGACGGAGTTCGGCTCGCGGGAGAAGCTGGGCGGTGAGGAGAGGAGGGCAGCGGGTGAGCGCCGCCCCGATGTCCCCGCGGGTGATGCTCACCCTGCCCCCTCCCACAGCAGCCAGCCCAGGCGACAGCGATTCCAGCAAAGTGCGCAACAAACTGCGCAAATTCCTCCAGCGGAGGCCGACGCTGCAGTCCCTGCGTGAGCGTGGGTACATCAAAGGTAGGGATGTGCCCTGGGTGTCCCCGAGATGTCACCTCCCATCCGTGCCCACCTCCCCTTTTTTCCCCCAGATCAGGTTTTTGGGTGCTCGCTGCAAGCGTTGTGTGAGCGGGAGCACGGCACGGTGCCACGGTTTGTCCAGCAGTGCATCCAGAGCGTGGAGAGGAGAGGTGCCAACGTGGGGATGTGGGGACGTGGGGATGTGGGGACGTGGGGACATGGGGATGTGGGGACATGGGGATGTGGGGATGTGGGGATGTGGGGACATGGGGACGTGGGGATGTGGGGATGTGGGGACGTGGGGATGTGGGGATGTGGGGATGTGGGGACATGGGGACGTGGGGATGTGGGGATGTGGGGACATGGGGATGTGGGGATGGGATTGTGGCAACATGGAGACATGGGGATATGGGAATGTGGGGACATGGAGATGTGGGGACGTGGGGACGGGGTGGTGGCATCACTTCTCTCAATCAAGAAAGTCCAAGTTTGATGAGGAATCCCATCGGGGTTTCCCAAAAAGCCATTGGGTTGGGTTGTTAGATGGCACAGTGGTGCTAAGAGATGCCACTGGCTGTCCCCACCCTGGTGCCACCAGTGACCATGTGGGAACAGCCCTGGGGACGTGGGGACACGGGGTGGGCTGGTGACTCTCGCTGGGGTAAGCTCAGCTTTGGCAGCAGGGAATCCCATGGGGTTCCCCCCAAAATCCATCGGGTTGGAGCTGTGTGTCGGTGTGGCCATGCTAAAAGTGCCACTGGCTGTCACTGTGCAGTGCCACCTGGATGACCGTGTGGGGACAGCCCTGGGGATGGGGGGTGGCATTCTCCCCAGGGAAAGCCCGGCTTTGACGTCAGGGAATCCCATTGGGTTTCCCCCCAAAATCCGCTGGGTTGTGGCCATGCGTTGACACGTCTGTGCTCAAAGTGCCACCCGCTGTCACCACCTCGGTGGCAGCATCACCTGGATGACCGGGAGTTGTCACCCCTCAGGGCTGGACATCGACGGGCTCTACCGGGTCAGCGGCAACCTGGCCACCATCCAGAAGCTGCGCTACAAAGTGGACCACGGTACTGTGCCCATGTCCCAGGGGTGTCCCCAAATGCCACCTTTGTGGGTGTCCCGTGTCCGAGGTGTCCCCGTGTCCCCGCAGAGGAACACCTGGACCTGGACGACGGGCGCTGGGAGGACGTCCACGTCATCACCGGTGCCCTCAAGCTGTTCTTCCGTGAGCTGCCGGAGCCGCTCGTCCCCTTTGGGCACTTTGACAAGTTCATCGCCGCCATCAGTAAGGGACGGGGACGGGGATGGGGACACCGGGGGCGGCCCATCCTCCAGCATCACCGCCCCACACCGCGTCCCGTCCCCTTGCAGAGATGCAGGACCCGGTGCTGAAGGGACGCTGCATCCGTGACCTCGTGCGCTCGCTGCCGCCCGCCAACCACGACACCATGGAGGTCCTCTTTGGGCACCTCTGCAGGTGACACCGCGTGTCCCGCCATGGGGCCACCAAAACCCCAAGGCAGGGGGGGGACGGGGCCGCATCGTGGGTATGGGTCCAATCTAAAGACGTTTGGGGTGCATGGAGGGAGAGGTCAGGTTTCAGGGACCCTGCGACCTCAGATGGACCAGGTTCTGGGTTTACCCAAACCCACACGGGGTCTGGCTGTGGGGCTCCCCATGGGAACAGGTCTGGGTGTTCCCCACATCCTCACAGGGATGGGTCTTGGGGTTCCTCATAGCCCCACAGGAACAAATCTTGGGGTCCTCCAGGGCCCCACTAGGGACTGGTTTGGGGATCTCCATAGGAATGGGCCTTGGGGTCCTGCAGAGCTCCACAGGTACCAGTGTTGGGCTTCCTCATAGGAACAGATCTTGGGGTCCTCCAGAGCCCCATAGGGACTGGCTTTGGGATTCCCCATAGGAACCAGTCTTGGGTTCTTGCAGAGCCCCATAGGGATGGGTTTTAGAGGTTCCCATAGGACTGGGATGTGGGGGTTCCCAATAGGAACCACTCTTGGAGTTCTCCAGATTTCCATTGAAACTGGTTTGGGGACCCACAGGAACTGGTCTTGAGGTCCTCCAGAGCCCCATAGGGACTGGTGCTGGGGTTCCCCACAGGAACAGATTTGGGGTCCTCCAGAACCCAGTAAGAACCAGGCTCTGGGGTTCCCTATAGAATCTGGTCTCGGGGTCCTCCAGAGTCCCAGTGGGACTGGTTCAGGGATCTCCATAGGAACCGGTCTTAGGATCCTCCAGATCCCCACGGGGGCCTCGGGGGTCTGCATAACTCCGCTGTGACGGGGATTGAGAGGTCCTGCAGAGCCCTGCGGGTGGGGTCCCATTTCGGGGCTGTGGTCCCATTTTGGGGGCTGGGGTCCCATTTTGGGGGCGGGGATCCTATTCAGGGGGCTGGGGTCCCATTTAGGGGGCTGGGGTCCATTTTGGGGGCTGGGGTCCCATTTTGGGGGCTGGGGTCCCATTTCGGGGCCCGGTGGTGACGTTGTCCCTCGTCCTGCCGCAGGGTGATCGAGTTCAAGGAGGAGAACCGCATGTCGGTGCAGAGCGTCGCCATCGTCTTCGGCCCAACGCTGCTGCGGGCGCCGAGCGAGGAGGGCAGCATGGCTGTGCACATGGTGTTCCAGAACCAGGTGGTGGAGCTCATCCTCAACCAGTATGGACACATCTTCCCTGACGGGTAGCGTGTGACATGGGGACAACACAGGGACACCGCGAGGACACCGTGGGGACACTGCGGGACAGCATGGGGACAGCATGGGAACGTTGCAGGGACATCGTGGAAACACCATGGGGACACCATGAGGACTTGATGGAGACACCATGGGGACATGATGGGGACACCACAAGAACATCATGAGGACACCATGGGGACACCATGGGGACATGATGAAGACGCCATGAAGACACCATGCGGACATCATGAGGACACCATGTGACACCATGTGACACCACGAGGACACCATGGGGGACGCCATGGGGACACCATGGGGACTCAAGGACATCAGACTGTGGGTGACAGCACCTGAAGGTGGCACGAGGGATGGGGACACCGCTGGGGACGGTGACATGGACCCTGTAGGGAGGGGACACCCAGGACGGGGTGTGGAGATGCGTGGGCAGGAGCGGTGCTCCTCAATAAAGAGATTGTAAGGACATGAGGACAGTTTGGTGACATGGGGACACCAGGGGGAAGATGGGGACACAGAGACACCATCAGAGACGTGGGGACATCAATGGGGACGTGGGGACACCGTCAGGGACACAGAGACACCATTGGAGGCATAGGGACATGTGGGGACACCACTGGGGAAAAGGGGACAACAGTGGGGACATGGGGACACGGGGACAACATCAGGGACATGGGGACACTGGTGGGGATATATGGACACTGGGACAACAATGGGGACATCAGTGGGGACATGGGGATAAGGGGGACAGCACAGCAATGCTTTGGGACCCCATGGGGACAGGGCACAGTGAGGACGGTTTGGGGGACAACTGGGGCACCTTGGGGCATCATGGGGACACTTTGGGGCCCTTTGGGGCACCAAGGGATCCCTGTGATTTAACGGGGACACTTTGGGATGGGGATCGGGACATGTGGGGACATTCTGTGAGTCAACGGGGGGACTTGGGGACACAGCGGGGACACTGAGGCACTTTGGGGCACCATGGGATCTCTGTGATTCAATGGGAACAGTTTGGTGTGGGGTATGGGGACACTGGGGGACACTTTGGGGCACATTGGGTCACAGTGGGAACTCTGTGGTTCAATGGGGACACTTCAGGACAGAGGAGGGGACATTTGGGGGCACTTTAGGGGCAAATCGGGGCTCTTTGGGGCTGTAGGGGACAGCTGGAGACTCTTTGGGGACATGATGGGACACATGGGGGCTCTTCGGACCAGTCTTTGGCATTTTGGGACACGACAAGAACTCTGTGAATCAGTGGGGATACTTTGGAACGGGGTAGGGGACATTTGGGGGCACTCTGGGGACACAGAGGTGTTCTTTGGGACGGTCTGGGGCTCTTTGGGGCAGTTGGGGATGGGGTAGGGGACGTTTGGGGATATTTTGTGTCCCTGAGGACACGGTGGGGCGTCATGGGGACACTGTGGGGCGCTTTGGGCCACTATGGGACATCCGTGATTCAATGGGGACACTTTGGGATGGGGTAGGGGACATCTGGGGACACTTTGGAGGCACTCTGGAACACTTGAGGGCCGTAGGGGACATTTGGGGACATTTTGGGGGCACACTGGTTGTCTTTGGGACAGTTTGGAGCTCTTTGGGACATGACGGGAACACTGTGATTCAGTGGGGACACTTGGGGACATAGCGGGGACACTGGGGCACTTTGGGGCACAGTGGGGTCTCTGGTTCAATGGTGCACTTTGGGAGGGGTGGGGGACATTTGGGGGCACTTTGGGGCTCTCAGGGCCAGTTTGGGGTTCTTTGGGACACAATAGAAACTCTTTGGGAGTCAAGGGGACACTTTGGGACACTTTGGGGCACTTTGGGGCACTTTGGGGCACAGCGGGATCTCTGTGATTCAATGGGGGCTCTTTGGGGTGAGGGAGGGGACATTTGGGGGCGCTTTTGGGGCACACTGGGGCTCTTTGGGACACAACGGATGCTCTCAGTGAGTCAATGGGGACACTTGTGACACAATGGGGACAATTTGGGGGCACTTTGGGGCACAATGGGAACCCTGCGATTCAATGGGGACGATTTGGGGTGAGGTAGGGGGCATCTGGGGGCACTTGGGGGGCACATCGGAGCTCTTTGGGGCACTTTGGGACGCAATGGGATCTCTGTGATCCCAAGGAGGCACTTTGGGATGGGGTAGGGGACATTTGGGGGCACTTTGGGTACTTTGTGATTCAACGGGGACACTTTGGGACCGGAGAACGGGGACATTTTGGGGGCACTTTGGGACACGGCAGGGACTCTTCGGGACCCCGTGGTTCCCCTGGGGGCCCCACTGCGTGCCTACGGGGGCGGCGCCAGCGGGGGGAGGACGGCCCTCCACCGCCCCATAGATCCCACAGAGCCCCGGCGTGCAGCTCCAGGTTTGGGGGAGGTGGGATTGGGGGAGGTGGGATTGGGTTTAGGATTGGGGCACGGAGGGGAGCCCTCCCCTCACATTGGGGGCAGCGTGGGGTTATGGGGCGGGATCGGCTTTGGGGCCGCAAATCTGCTTTATTTAGGGGGGGGGGG